AGCTTCCTTGCAGCACTTAGTGGGTTCTCTGAGTGGTAGTTTTTGGGGTCCAATCCCATTCCTTTGCAGACAGGAACCGAATGTCATCCCTGGGCCTCATAGCTCAACCCAGAAGGAATCGCACATACTCATACAGGGGCATCCTGTAGGTGGGGACTCTCGGTGTGTTCATGCTAGCTCAGTAAGGATTTACAGTAGGTGACATCATTGGTCATTGGACATAATATTAAAGTGGTTGTAAAGGTAGAAGTAGCAACCAGGAGCACCTGCGGGAGACCCAAGAAGAGGAGGATCGGGGCTGCTCTTTGAAAAACCACTGCACAGAGCAGGCAAGTATAACATGTTTGGTATTTTAAAAAAAATATGCTTAGAGTCACTTTAAAGTGATATTAAAGGTTTGTCAGGTCTGCCTCCGGGCCCTCCAGGCCCCTCCCTCTTGCCAAGTTTCCCCACAACAAGTAGCTTGCTATAAGGGTACCTAAGCAGGTTTGCTTCTGAGACATTGCCCCGTGGTTCATTCACACACGGAGCATGGCTTGGCCCCGCCCCTGCTCTGTCCTCATTAGCTCACTGGCTGTGATGGACAGTAGCGAGAGCCAATGGCTACCACTGCTGTCTCAGCCAATGAGGAGGGAGAGACCTGAGAGAGCTGAGGCACATCAGGATTATGATAAATATTATACAGGATTTATATAGCGCCAACAGTTTGCCCACCACTTTACAAAATTAAGGTAGACATTACAGTTACAATACAATCTGGTACAAGAGGAAACAAAGGGCCCCGCTCGTTAGAGCTTACAATCTAGGAGATGGGTCTCAGGTAAGTTTTAGGGAGGGCTGGGGGTGCTGCTGCACACAAGGATTTTTACCTTACCTAGAATGCATGAAGATAAAAATTTTAAGTCTTTACATCCACTTAAATGCCACAGATGAAAATATATAGAAATAAAATTTTCTAAGCAGTTGTATCCTCTATTTGGAGGAGATGCTAATTTGCTGAGTAAAGTCCATTGTTCTCCAATGTGAAGCATGGCTGCATGTATTGTACTGCTGGAATAAATTAAGCACTTGTGATACAAAAGTACTGTGAATCCTTCATTAAGGCCACATATTACGTAGAAAAAGACTAAGCGTTTTCAATGGTCTATTAGCTCCAATGTTCAGTCTCAGCACCAATTAACAACATCATTTTGTGATTCTCATACATACCACACTTGGAGACAGTTGTACTTTTCAACAGATTTTCAACAATAACATTTAATCAGCACATAAAGCACAAAATGAATATGTTATACGTAGAGGAGTATAATATTGTAACAATTTTCTGTTTAATTAATTTTATCTTCAGGATTTCCTGGGTATAATAAAAGAATAAGCATAACTGGAACGTGCAGTAAACAAATCTGAGTTGGGCAGTGGCAATGGGAGAATTGTACATGTTCAGAGTGAGCAGACAATTCTTATACCTCAACAACTGCCAATTGTGGTTTAATTGAACTCATGTTTTATTTTAATTATTAATGTTATTATAAAAGCTGCAAATTTAAAAATAAAAAATGACTTTAGAAAGACCATCAGCATTTTAAAGATTAAATAAGATTTTAGTTTTTGGGTTTATTTATATATCTTACAAAATCAAGATTATTTATGGAAAAAGTATGTGAACCTGTGGGATAAAGACATCTTAAAAAGAGAATGATTGGTGCTGATTGTTTCAACCACTGAGTCAGGTCTTCCAGTCAATTCCAGGGTGGGTAAGACTTCACAAAGGGTAGAAAACAACATGTCCATCACAAATCTCCTAAATAACAACCAGAACCGATATGCACACCTCCAGATTGACTTACAATATGCCATACAGTCCTACAGATGCAAACGTGTTTCCAGGATGCCCCTCTCCTCAGAGCAAAATTTAAAAAAATAAATGATGTCTTGGTTAATGTACAAGGCTGGTGCACCCTCTTTTGTTATTTTTCATGCAGTTTTTATGGATCTCCCAGTTTGAGGAGGGCAGCAAGGCCAAGTGGAAGCTAGTGGACTGAGGCTAGGTTCATGCTCTAGATATAACTGAGACTTTGAGAGAGTTCTTCCACAGTATTGGTGCCATACTTGAGTGTAGACGATTCTTATTACATTATGTGTCTTAGACCTCACTTTCTGCATTAAATAAATCACACAATTTTTTTAGTTTCCTGCTTTTAACAAAACTCTGTTAATGCGCAATATGGCCCTATCTAAAGGAACTCCTCAAAGGAAGAGTTTTTGAAGTTCATAAGACTTGAGCTATGAAAGGCCTTCTAAATCTATTCATCCACTGTCAGGCAAATAGTGTAATAGAATGGATGCATCAATGTTACTTCCCCTAGGGTTGGGTGGCCTACAATGATTGGTGACAGGAGCTTGTAGGGTGATAGCCAAAGACAGGTAGGCATCATAATCAGATGGCTTTATTAAAGTAGAACTCCAGTCAGAACATCTTATATTTTTTTTGGATAGACTAAGGAGTAGTTAAAACCTGTGCCTGTGTTGTAAAATATACCTCACTTCATCTGGTGGTTACCAAGACAAGACATCTCTCTAATACGGGCTCAAACAACAATGAAAGCACTTTAATGGATGGAGAGAAGTGTCAGAAGCATTGTCAGAATGTAATGGGAAATCTCCGTAACAGAGATATAGATAGCAGTAACTGACAGAGGTCAGGCAGAGGCCAGAGTCTATTGAGGCAGAAACCTTTGCATTGACTCTACATCCTAGCCCCTTATACCTAGCATCAGACACACTTTTTCACGTTCCAGAATGCCTTCATCTGTTTTCTCTATAGAGTGACAAAGGCATCTTTGTTCAGTCATTATTCAGGGTCAGCATCTATTTCCAGAACAGAGATCATGGTTTAGGCCCCTTTCACACTGATGCACCTATACTAAAATGCAGCTGTAATGTGCACCAAAATACAATAAAAATATTTCCCTTTAAATTCTATAGAAATCTTCACATCCGTGTGCTGTGGGTGTGGTGCCTTTTGAAAATTTCTGCATGCTGCACTTTAGTGCCCTGTTTCAGGGCACTAAACACACCAAAAATGCATCTCCCATTGAATTTTCTAGGAAACACTACAAACACATCAAAAATGCATTGAGGTGCGTTTTTGGTGTGTTTCTTGAGTCACATATCCAAGTTTCACAGGTGCATGCTGTGAGTCAGGAATCCAGAAAATGCACCAAAATTACACTAAAGATGCAATTTGTGTTTCTGCATAATACATATTGCGTTTTTAAGGGCATCAATGTAAAAAGGCCCTTAGAGATGGCACAATCACTCAAATCCTGTACAAAACACAAGAAAAAGAGAGCACAAACGTCTAGCGCATTATCCCAAAAAACAATTGTTATACTTACATGTGTAGTGGGCTGTAAGCATATCAATCTAAATCAATAGCCATTGCTCTGAGGAAGAGGAGTGGTTCCCCAAAACGCGTCAGCTGTACTTGTCACCCTGTTTCCAGTTGGAAGTGGAGAGTGGACTCTCTCACTGTGTGCTTTTTGCATTGATATGCTTATAGCTCACTACACTTGTGAGTATAACAATAATTTTTTATATCCCCAAATAAAGTGCTTGTGATAATGCGGTAGGTGTTTGCGTTCTTTTTTTTTTGTGTTTTGTACAGTGTTGGATTTCCCTGATCTGAGGAGGGATGCACCACCGCTGCTTTCCAGTCCAGGTTGCAAATATTATGTGACATTTTGGTTTGTGCGATGGGTGCCTCTGTCAGGTTTCTGATCACTGGAGTGTCAAGTTTGGTTCTGTTCCTTTAAACACTCCTGTGTTGGGGCAGTTCCCGAATGTTCTCACAAATGTCTCCTACCACAAACCTCCTAATTGCAGAATATAGATGACATCCTCACAGCTTATGAAAATGTCTTCCCTTTAACACAGGGGCTGCAATGTAATTTGAAAAATGATTTTGCTGCTAAATATTGTGACAGGTAATGAATTTATTCTTGCCGGCTTGTCCGGTTATTGAAAACTGCATTTTAAGGCTTCACCGACATGGGTATACTACAGCGTATGCCAATGTTTTCCAGCATAAGGATGTACAAGTGGTCTATGCATCCCCATGCAGGGAGTCCCATTGGTGTCAATTTGAAAGGAGTGTGGGTGCACGGCCCTAAATGCACACTGCATTTGGGGCTGTGCATCCTCATGGATGTCATATTGGGAGCAATAGCCATGCAGCTGTTGCACCTTAATTGATATGAATGGGACTGCATGCATGGGGATGCGTGGATCACCTGTGCATCCTCGTGCAGGCAAACACAGCCCTTGCACGGGTGTGAAAAAGGTCCAAATACCAACACAGTATACTACAGAGAGTAAATCTAGTAACAGATAGTAAAAGGAAGGAGCCAGGAGTTGATCAGAGGAGTTTCAAGACTCTCTGCAGTTTAGGTAACCTCCATTTTTTTGGAAGGGTGTTAAATGATGGACAATAGAAAAGCAGATTGATGCATGTAATAGTGAATTATGTTTTTTATTTGTGTTATAATTGGCTAATAAGATTAATGGTGAACCATTTGCCCTCCAGAGGATTCCCCCCCCCCCCCCCCTGTACAGGCCATTTTTTGTGATACAGCGCTGCATTAATTTAACTGACAATTGCACAATCATGCAATGCTGTACATAAATGAAATCTGTGTCCTTTTTTCCAACAAATAGAGCTTTCTTTCGGTGGTATATGATCACCTTTGTATTTTTACGTTTTGTGCTATAAACAAAAAAAAAAATACATTTTCGGAAAAAAAAAACAACAATATTTTTACTTTTTGCTATAAAACATATGGAATAAAAACATTTAAAAAATCAAATGTCATCATAAATTTAGGCCAAAATGTATTCTGCTACATGTCTTTGCTAAAACAAAATCCCAATACATGTAAATTAATTGGTTTACGTCAAAGTTATAGTGTCTACAAATGGCGGTATATATACTAGAATACTAGTAATGGCGGGACTGCGGCGGGCATTCTGACACTGAGTGGGAACTGACTAACTGCCACTGACATCCCCAGTGACACTAATACAGTGATCAGTGCTAATAAAAAGCATTGATACTGTACTAATGACACTGGGCAGGAAGGGCTTAACATCTGAGGCGATCAAAGGGTTAAACTGTGTGTGTTTCACTATGTGTGCTGTTTTACCATGTATACCTGCTGCTTTGTATTTCTCTGCTATGCAGAGAAATACAAAGCAGCATGTTCTTGCTGGTAGGAGAGAGACCTGTGTTGTTTATACACAGGTTTCTCCCCTGTCAGCTTTCCCCAACAATCGCCGGGTGTCGGCAGCGAATCCTAGGCCAGGACCTGATGACTGACATCCCTAGCTGCGCGCACTCCCTACCCGGAAATGCAAATCAAGTATATATATATATGTGATTTTGCACACCCCTGCCACCCTGTAGCAGTAATGGCAATAAGAATAGAACCTGTAAGAAAGGGCTTTAATGTTTACAAGTACCTACGACAGCAAAGTCTTTAAACGCAACCTACTTGTCGGACTAAGGCAGCCCACAGATTAGTCTGCTTTTTTTGCTCAGCCAGCGGGTTAAACGAAAAACATTACTGACTTGATTCTCCCATCCACACAGTGTGGATGGAGGAATCCTCCGCTCCCCCGGTGCTATTGGAATCCTCTCCGCTGTGCTATTGTATTTTGATGGCAGGGAGACTTCCCCGCTGTCAAAATACACTGATCGACGTTTCGACGTTTCAGGCTATGGCCTGCAATGCTGATCGAACGGGGAAAATCCGATTGGGCATTGTACAAAAGTCAGTCAACTTCAGTATAACCTCCCATATATGAATTGAAATGAGTGTGGTCCTTGCTAAACCGGCCAATTTTTGATCTATGCATGGCTGCCTAACTTTATCATGTAGCCTAGTGAGTACTGTTATTAGGGCAGAGCTAGTCCAGCTGTCAACGTGATACAAAATTATGTTTAAAATCAGTTTAAAAGGCTGATGTAGTAAGTGCTGAACTTTCCAATGACAGCTAAATTAAACGCTAGGAATTCTTCCATGCTGAGTGAAATCTTCAGCTGTGATTCTGGATGCCAGGAACAAGAATGTGAACTGAGCTATCACAAAGGACTTCTGCTGTGCACACATATGCACTGCACATCGTCTTCAAAATTCATCCTCTGCCATAGAATCTCTCCATATAAATGAAGCCATTTCAAGCCTTCATTTGTTTAAATTATTTGATCTGTTTTTAACCTAGATCTACTAACCTGAGATTACCTTCAAGAGCCAGCACTTGAAACATAAACATCCTGTTAGAAATAAGTGCATGCAGATATACAGACATGTCATCTGCAAAACAATTATATGACCAAGATATGCTGTAATTTGTAAACTGTACTTCCTAAACCCCAGTTGAACCTTCAAGCAGGTTCATCAAGACAAGGGATGTTAAAAGCCTTACATGTCATTTTCTTTATAAAGAAACCACAGCCTGAGTAGAAAAGTCTGTCTCCTGCCAGTGTGTTACAGAGTGGGACCCTTGCTCGTTGTGTGGAAGCTGTGGTCTCTCTGCAGAGATCAGACACACCCTCTGCTAAGTCAATGCTAGAGCTCTCCAATCATCAAGGAGCCTAAGCACAGCACTATAGGTCAGCTTCATCAGGGGGAGTGTCAAACATCTACAGAAAGAATGTTGCCTCTGCACAGAGAGCAAGGGTCCCACTCTGCAGCTGCTGGCAGGAAACAAACTTTTCTACCTAAGCTGTGGCTGCTTTCTAAAAAAAAAAATAGCTGTAAAACTTTGAACAGCTTTTATTTTGATGATCCTATAATGCATTTAACTAATTTCAACTGAAAGTTCAGTTGAGCTTTAAACTGAGGGCCAACAGGCAGTCAAATGAAAGTTCAGTTGAGCTTTACACTGATGTCCAAAAGGCGGTCAAAGAGGAGCTACACCTGCTCTGCAAGGGTTAATGTCTCTTTTAGTCCCAGTAAGCTGTAGGAGAGGGGAAGTACATTAACCTACCTGAACTTCCACTGCCCTGGCAGATGGTGCGCCCCCATGCTCTAGTGGTGGACTATCTCTCAGCTTCATCACATCCAGTGTAGGGCTATGACCCCTGCATCGGTCCCAATGATGTCAGGACCTTAGATCGCTGGAGCATAGGGGAGAGAAGATGCTGCTGGGACCAGTCTAGCAGCGCAAAGGATCGAGTAAGTAAATCTTCTTTAAAGTACAACTAAAGGCAAAACTTTTTTTTTCTTTTAGTTTTAGATAGACTAGGAGGGATTAGAGCACCTGCTTAGAGGGATTAGAACACCTGTTTTTATTGCTGTCTGTGCCCCCGTTAGGGAGATTCATCCTCTTTATTTATCATTATTATTGAAAGTGGAAGTAAAAGAAAATCCCAAATTTTAGGTTGTCTCCAGAAAAGTAATAGAGGGGAAATCTTTCAATAGGGACATTAGTTCTGGTGACCTGGGGGTCCCCAAGAAATTCCCCAATTTTCAGGGATTTCTTCTCATTTCCTGTTTTGGCTATGGGACAAGAAGTGAAGGAAAATCTCCCCAATGGGATATAGATGGCACAAAATAAACTGACAGGGGTTGTGACCCTCTCTACTCTATCCAAAATGAAAAAAAAAGTTATGCCTATAGATCAAGTCCCCCAGGCTTAAACAAGTAATTAACCCTTGCAGTGCAGGTACAGCCCCACTGTAATGGTTACATTTTACAATACGTTTCCAAGAGCTGGGCTTAACTGGTTGCTGACCAGCCACAGTACATATACTGCGGCAGGGAGGCACCGCTGCGCAAAATCATGTGTATATATGTGATTTTGCATATCGGGTAGGGGGGCGCACAAACTGCCCTACCCGCGCCGCCGATCGTGGCCGCGGGTGTCAATCACCGGCTCCGGGGTGGTGATTACATGCCAGTTCCAGCGATTGCCAGGAAACACTGACACAGAGCACAACTGCATTGCTTACAATGCAGCTCTGCTCCCTGTCAGTTTCCAGCACACTGTTCCAGAGAGCAGAGCTTAGCTTTCTGGGACAGAGTGTTCCTGTGAAGAACACACCCCCCGCCCACTAGTAAAACACTCCCCTCACACAGTTAACCCTTTGATTGCCTAGAAATGTTAACCCCTTCCTCCCCAGTGTTATTAGTACAGTGTCAGTGTTTTTGTTTGCACTGATCACTGTATTGGTGTCACTGGGGATGTCATTGACCCCAAGTCAGTTCCCCACCAGTGTCAGAATGTCTGCTGCAGTCCCGCCATAAGTCGCTGATTGCCGCCATTATTAGTATATAAAAAATTTTTAAAATTACAGTATATATACCGCTATAACTTTCATGTAAACCAATTAATTTACACATATTGGGATTTTTTTTTAGCAAAGACATGTCGCAGAATACATTTTGGCCTAAATTTTTGACAAAATTTTAGTTTTTTGGATATTTTTTATGACAGAAATGAGAAAATATAATTTTTTTTTTTCCACAAAACATTTTTTTTGTTTATAGCGCCAAAAATAAAAAGCTCACAGGTGATCAAATACCACCAAAAGAAAGCTATATTTGTGTGAAAAAAGGACATAAATTTCATTTATGTACCGTATTGCATAACCGTGCAATTGTCAGTTAAACTAGTGCAGTGCTGTATAGCAAAAAAATGGCGTAAATTGCAGTATCTATACCATAGTTTGTAGATGCTATAACTTTCACACAAAGCAATCAATATACACTTATTGGGATTTTTTTTTACCAAAAACATGTAGCAGAATACATTTTGGCCTAAATTTATAAATAACTTTGAGTTTACTATATATTTTTTATAGCCGAAAAAAATATTCAAAATTTTCGGTCTTTTTTTGTTTATAGCGCAAAAAATAAAAAGCGCACAGGTGATCAAATACTACCAAAAGAAAGCTCTATTTGTGTGAAAAAAAGACATAAATTTTGCTTGTGTACAGCATTGCATGACCGCGTAATTATCAGTTGAATTAGTGCAGCTCAGAATAGCAAAAAGAGGCCTGGTCATTTAGGGGGGTAAATGCTCTACAGGGCAAGTGGTTAAAGGTAGTCCATGATATGTCTATGGTTCTCAGCAGAACAGATGGACCTGTATTTTCTAGTTACTCAGTGATTTTTTTGGGCTGACTATCTATCCAAGTAGATTTTGTATCTGGCAAATAATGTAGGAGAAAATAATGTTTATTCAGCTCAGGTACCAAGATTGATATAAATGCATAATCCACATTAGATGATAAACAACAATTCTGAGGAGCAAGTGGAAACCAATTAGTGAATTTCTAATGCTGCCGAGCAAACAATGCAGCTGAGATAGCCATACCGATATCGACTGGCCTAAACATACACATCTGATTCAAGTGACGTCCCTGTTTGCCTATGGAATGAGCTATGTGCTCTAAAATGTCACATTCACGGTGAATAAATGGCTCTTTTTTGAGCTTTTTGATGTGCTGATAAGACTTGATGTTCCAAGATCTCCTCTCATCATTATTCTTTGCATTCCCATTTTGAATAAGTGTGATAGAGTAGAGTAGCACTTGCATGGAGAGCAGTTCTTAATGCAGAAGCCAATCCCCTGTTCGCATTCCCACTACGCTAAAACTGAAAAAGCCGAAATAAAATCCAACAAGCTAAGAGTGCTTATATCTGATCATCATGAGGGATAAATGCATTTCTGAGATGCTGCTCTGATGTTCATTTAGCAGAAGTAACGGTGTTCAGTTCTTCAGCAGAGATTTATTGCAGTCTTTGGAAGAGATCTTGTACACTGTGTCGCTGATGGTCCCATCTCAGATTTCTGGCAGAAATCAGGATGGAACACAAGACAAAGGAAGTCTGGGCACATACAGTACATACAGCGTGCGAATCGCACCCCACCTAAAAATGGGCGTGGATTAAATAAATATTTGGCATAAAGGGGGTGTGGTTAGATAGAATGAGAGTTTTCTTGGGCTTTCCCCATGCAATTTTGCTCTCCACCCCAACATCCCAAAAAAAACAAATAAACACACACATATAGACATATCTAAAAAAAAAACTTTATTAATGTAAACATAAAGAATTGGCCCACACTCACTGATTGGATGCTAGAGGTTACATCACATCATTACTGCTTACTGATTGCTTGATAGAGGTTACTGCACATCATTACTGATCACTGATTAGTTCTAGAAGTTACTGCATTTAGGAGAGAAACTGCAAGCGTAGTACAGGGGTTGGTCAGAGACTGCAGGTGTAGTACAGGAGTTATTCAGAGACTGCAGGTGTAGTACAAGAGATAGTGAGACACAGTAGACATACTACAGGAGTTGG